GGTGGGCTCTCGGGACCGGGCAGCTGTGCTCCGGTAGGCGTCTCCCCAGACTTCTTTTGACCGAAGCCCCAGCCCTACTCCTTGTTCTACACCCAGTGGGTCCTGCAGATTCCAAGCACCAAGGGAGGGAGGAAGTGTGGGTGTGGGACACACCTTCTGGGGTCTGCCTGGGTAAGTTTGCTCCTCAGCTCTCAACAGTGTGACTTTGGGTGAGCAACTTCTTATCTGTAATTGGGAATAATGACGGCGAGTGCCTCACAGGGGTGGGAGGAAAACGTGTGAGAAAATATGAAAATACATAGTGCTGGGTGGTAGGGGGCAGCATGCTGTGAATTCCAGCACCGCTGGGTTCTAGCTTCAGGCAATTTTCAGTCCTTTGGTCAGAGCCCCTGTCACCCAGTTCTCTCCAGAGAGTCCCACACCTGTTGTCCAAGTGAACAGGCCTCCAAGTGGAGCACCTGTTCTTCCCACCTTCCATCCCCAGTCTACCCCTCCCCCAGGCTCCTGTTTCAGCAAATGGTCCTATATCGCCCACCTAGAGAATGAGGGTTACATTCTAGAACTGGGCCTGTTGGCATGGGCCTGTAATCCCAGCTACTTGGGAGGCTGGGGCAGGCAAGTCACCAGCTCAAGACCCTCTGGGATATGGAGGACAAAAGCTCTCTGTAGGCTTCCTCTTCCTCCTTCATCCATCACCCTGTCTATAACATACTTATTGACTTCAACTCCAAAACACCTCCCAGCACCGGGGACTGTCATCTCTCTCCAGGCCCATCATGTAGACTTTCCTGTGCTCTTTTGACCTGATCCCTCTGTGCTACTACTCAAAACCCCTCTGTGACCCCTGCCAGAGTAAAACCCGGTTCCTTGCCACCACCTACAAGCTGTCTGTGATTGGCCCTGCCCACCCTCCAATCTTCAGCCTTTGTCACTTTTGACACTCTGTTTCACTCATTATGTTCCAGTCTGTCTGTCCTTTATGTTTTCCAAACAAGCCAACCTCATCCTGGCACAGGTCCTTTTGCACCAGCTGTGTTTTCTGCCTGGAATCCTTCCTCAGACCTTCATATAGCTGGCTTTTTCTTGTTAGTGGCTTTTACTTTCAAGGCCTCCTTATCAGGGAGTATAGTCTGACCACCTGATCTAAGTAGCTTCCATGCCAGTCACCTTATTATCCTGTTACAGCATCGCCAGTCCCTGTATGTCTCTAGCCCCTTTACTGCTGGTTCTCTGCTTCCCCACAAAAGCAAATCTTATCTCTTTCTCTACTGTTAATGTACCCTGAGGATTCAGTGTACCCTTGCATGTTGGAGATGTTGAATGCAGCAAAATCTGTGCTCATTCCTAATGGGCCTCTTTGCTTTTTTTAGCTCACAACCTGTAGTTGACCTGGCCGTGTCTATGACATTTATCCCCGCTGCACTGCCCATGTTCTTCAAGGACAACGTGGATGTAGAACTGTGTTTCGAAGTTGCCTCCTCAACTACAGCCTCTAATCCAGGTAATGGCTGCCTGGTGGGGTGCCCTGGTGTTGTGGTCATTCCTGATTGGCTTGTAGGTACAGTCCGGGTCCCTTTCCTGAAGTCTGGCTGCTGTTTGGTTAAATGTGTATGCCCCAGGAAGCAAGTAAGCTGAGATCATAGCCATGTTGAGAGGAAGGGGGTTTGGGAAACAATCAGAAAGGCAGCGGCTGCCCCATCTTTGCCTGCTGTTCCCACCTGAGCATTGCAGGGCCCCCAGAGGCACGGCCTCTCTCCATGATTTGCACCTTGGAGAACCTGCTGGAGGCCTGGCTGCTCTTCCACCCCTTATCTGACACTCTGGGAGCATGTTTTCAGGGCATGGCTGTCAGAGCCCAAGTGTCCAGGCCCAGAGCTCCCTTCCAACAGTCTCCCAGCAAATTCCCCAAGGTTTAAACCTCCTGAACAATCCTATCGAGGTCTCCTTGCAAGTCATGAAGCAGTCCCCTTGGGTGAGGGTCATGACCAACCCCAAGGGTAGAAAACCACTGACCTGGCCTGGTATGGTTGTATGTGCTTGTAATCCCAGCACACGGGAGATGGGCAGAAGGATCAAGAGTTCAAGGCCAACAGGCAGTGGTGGCACATGCCTTTAATCCCAGCCCATTTAATCCCATAAAAAAAAAAAAAAAAAAAAAAAAAAAAGAGTTCAAGGCTATTTTCAGCTACATATTGTGTAGCTGGGATACATGAAAGCCTGTTTCAAAAAGGAAAGAAAAAGGGGCAGAATTACTATTCTTAGGACACAGAAGCTGCTGAGGGCTTGGTGACACCAGGCAGGCATCCTTCTCTTGCTAGGCCCTGGTTTCTGTTCTTCACAGTAAGACGTTTGGCCCAGGCAATCTCTATGATGTTTCCAGTCCTTCTGTGCTCGATTCATGATTCCACTCTCAGTTTACTGAACCCTGCCCCATCCTCCTCTTGCTTTTCCTTCCTTCTCCCTCCTCCCCTTCTTCCTCCTCTTCTCCCCTTTTCTCCTTTCCCTGCCCCCTTCTATCTCACTCTCCTGGTTTCTAAGTTAGGTTTCTTATTGATGTGATAAAAAAACACCATGACCAAAAGAAACTTGAGAAAGAAAGGGTTTCTTTCAGTTTACAGTTTGCATTGCATCATCCAAGGAAATTCAGGACAGATAGTTAAGGTGGGAACCTGGAAGTAGAAGCTGTGGAGGGTGCTGCTCACTGGCTTGCTCAGCCTGCTTTCTTATAGCACCCAGGACCAGCAGCCCGGGGTATACAGCTCACAGTGAGCTGGGCCCTCCGACATTAATCATCCATCGAGACAATGCACCACAGGCCAGTCTCATGGGGACATTTTCTCAGCTAGGTTCCCTCTTCCAAAGGATTCTAGCTTCTGTCAAGTTGACATGAAACTAGTCGGCACACCTGCCTAAACTCAACCCAGGAATGTGCTGGGAATGGGTCCAGAACACAGAGAAACCCCGGCCAGGTCTACTAGAAGCAATGCAGGGGTGGAGGTCACCTTCAAAATGATGCTGAATAGCTAGGCATTAATACCAGCATTTAGGAGGCAGAGGCAGGTGGATCTCTGTGAATTCAAGGCAAGCTTGGTCTACATAGCAAGTTCCAGATCAGGGGTATATAGTGACACCTTGTCTAAACAAAACAGGACAGAACCAAATCTGGGTGTCTGGCCCCAAGGAGGTGCCCGTATACCACAGGGACAATGTTCGGCAGGGGCTTACTGAGCCTCAGCAGGCTGGGGCTATTTGTCTGGGCCTTGATCTTTCCAGTCTCATCAGAAGGTCTGGTCTTCAACCCCAGGCCTTAGAGAGATGTCACTCCACTTCACCGTGGATGTGGATGTGACCAAGCAGAGGAAGAGGCTGCAGTGTACAAATACAACCAATTGTCAGAGCTACCTGAGGAATTGGAATGGGGAGTCCTCTCAGTGTGAGCAACTCTCGTTCATCCCCATGGAGGAGAAGGTAAGTAGAGAATTTAGTCAGAATCCCAGAGAAGATATGTTCAATGTGGGACCCTCTCCACACAGACAAAAGAGGTGACTGAAACAATCCCAACACATCAAGAACCACAAAGTGACACTGGAAATAGGATCCTACCAGAAATCTCAACAAAAGCGGCTTGGGCTGTGGGCGTGGCTCAGTGACACAGGGAATGTTTTGCATGCATGAGGCCCCATGTTTAGTTCACTGGGAAGGAAAGCATAAAGGGAGAAGGGAGAAAGAGCAGAAAGAGAGCACCTACCAAAACAGAACATAGACGATGATATCACTGAGCTTCCTAGAGGTTGGACAAAGAGGGGAATGGTTTCATTGTGTTGTCTACTAACCTGATAGTAATATTAGGGTGAAAGGCCCTGAGTGAATCCACATCAGAAAAACTGAATGATTAAAAGGCAGATCTAGAGGGCTTCCCTCCATGGCTCCTGTTTATCCTCCACATAAAGTGTGAGCCAAATCCCTCTGTGATTGGGGTGAGACCCTCAAAGACCCCTGAGATCCAAGAGTGGGGCAGACTGGGGAAACTTCCAAAGCTCTTGGCGGCTTACTTGAGGGTCTGGATCCTTTGGAAGACTTCCTGGTCATCGCTGTCACTGTTCATTTCTTCTTGTCCTCTTCTTCACATCCACCTCTGACCTTGCCTTCCTTGGCCACTCACAGCTGTGTGATGGGGACTGCTTTTCCAACATTACCATCAAGGTCAGCTACGAGTTCCAGACACTTGGAGGAAAGGGGGACCACCCCAACCCCATCCTGGACCACTACAAGGACCCCTCTGCTGTCTTCCAGGTAACTCTTCCCACAGGGAGGACCCAACCATCTTGGGGGACATCCCACATTGAATACTTGCTCCCCTAACTTCAGAGATGGCCAGAGTTGGGAGAGAGAGAGTTGGGAGAGAGCCTCTTTAGGCTGTGTCAGTGGGGCAGTGGAGCCCCCGAGATGGCTGCTGTTCATTGCTCACTGGTGGGTAGTAGGTTTCTAGCTGTTGCCCTGGGCTTGTTCACAAAGAATACTCCCTATATGCTCAGTGATGCATGTGGGTCCGCTGTGTACTGGGGCTCTCATTTTGCATAGACTGGAGCTGTCCTGTCCTGAGATGCAGAGAGGAAGTTCTTGGATACACTTCCTTGCTTGGGTCCTGCTCAGAGCCTTCATGCTGAGGTATCTGGCACAGC